TCTATGCTTTACGATACACAAACTCACAGGTCACCAGCCAGATCACCTACATGAACCGGCTCAACGCTAACGTTGCGCCTCACGTGTTAATTTTTGTCGCTTTGCGCTTGAATTGACATTATTGCCCTTTCTCCTACTACATGCGGTTTTCTTTTGTCTTTGATTTGTTCTTCGTAAAAAGTAGAAAACAAGTTTTGACATTTTGCATTCTGCATCGCCCGTGGTTTGGTTGTAATATAAATAAAATATATATATATATATGAATTCACAGCTTATTTTTATTTGTAATTTAATTAAAAAAATGGTAAATTAGTAATTTAATTTTTAAATTAAAGCTATGTTATATTTGAGTACCAATTTCTTATTATAATTTACTCTTTAAATTTTTTGTAATTATATGGGTAAAAACTGTAATATTAAAATAAAATTATACCTTAGTTTTATTTAAGTTATATTTTATTCCATTAAAATAAATTATTTATATAGTGGGACTAAAATACCAAATATATATATGTGTATATTTCTACACCTAATCTAAAATTCGAAACTAGTAGACCTGGCAACTTTCCACATAATAATTATGATCTTTCTGTCTCATCAAAAAAAAAAAAAAGGCAATTGGCCGATCAGTGAGTTCATACCTGATTTTTGCTTTAAAGCAAATATATTATATATTCTAAATATGTTAGAAAGTAAGTATGTGTGTTTATATATATATATATATATATGAATATACATATATGCAAAACTGAGGCAAAATAAAAAAATCTGGTGTCCGGTTCAAAATACCCAAATTCAAAGAAACGCGAGTTAAATTTCCTAAATTTTATTTATTGAATTTGATTGTTAATTAATTATTATTTTTTATATAACTAAATTATTATTTTAATTTTTGTTCCTATTATAAGTAAATTGTAAAAATAATCAACCATCAATACATATATATATTGAGAAAAAAATATTTTCATGCTTGATAAAGTATTGTTGTTATAAAAAATTTAATAATTTAAATATATCATAATAATAATATTTAATAAAACTTAAAATATATTTTATTTACATTAATATATCATAAATATATATTAATAAACAAATGAATATATTCACTAACATTTCAATCAAAAACTTTGAAATCTGATTTGAGCTTTTCCGCAAAATTCATTTCAAATTAAATTTTGATATAACCTACATGAGTTTTGATCAAGTTGAATCCGAATTATTCATGAATGTGTTTTGTTCATTATCATCTACGTCATCTATAAATATAATTGCATAATTATAGGTAAATAAACTTTGATTTAGAGTTAAAGTTAAAATTATTTTATGTGAATTATTCTAATTGATTAATAAATAAATGTTTTAAATTTGAATTGAATTAATATTTCAATTCTATTTAATACGAATAAAAATCAAATATCTATATTATAAAAATTTGAATGAAAGCAACGTTATAATTTTAAATTAAGTATTTATAAAGTTTATCACCTAACAAGTAATAATATAATTGAATATATAAATAGAGTTGATTTTATCATATATTAAATATGTAAATTGTGATTGATTTTTAATATCTATATTATATTTGGATGTTGGCTCCTTTTTTCTCGTAGAATTTATAGGAGGCTCTCTTTATGAGCCATAGAAAGTAACTAATTCACACTATATCAACTTAGTGTAGGATGTACATATACATTGATGTTGTAGTCATATATTTTATGAAATGATGTAGGTATATATATATATGTTGTAAATAAAGACTTTAATTATAGATTTTTTCAGAGGATAATGTAATTATAAATTAATATTTGATAACCCATGAAGAATTATATATATATATATATATATATGCTCACACCAAAACATATAGGATCACTTCGCCCTAAACACATTATAATAACTTGTTAATTAATGTATTTTGCCGAACAAATGGGTAGAAAGTCAATAACACATTTAACTTAAAAAGGCTTTTTTTTTTTTTTTTTAAAGGGAAAAAAGAGAAATGTTATATTATCAACATGTCAAAGTGTTTCTATCACTAATTAATTAAACCAATATTTTACTTTATTTATTTTATTTTTTGCAGATAAAATAATATAATTTGTAGGTAAGAAGATAAGAACTTAAATGGAAGTGTTTTTCTGCTGAATTTTTCAACACAAACACATAGTCAACCACGCATTAATATACAATCGTTCCTAACTTATAACAATAATTAATGATAAACCTCGCATAATGTCTTAATGTAAGTAAGGTGATTTTCCATGTTGCTAATTTTTTAAAATGTAGAATATATATATGTATATAAAATATATGTGCATGTATAAAATTACATGTGTAAGATTACAATAAAATAAAAATCCAAATTGTGTATGTATATATTGATCATAGAATTAATATTAGTATAATGGAAAATATTGTACGATGGTGATTAAATTAACACATATATTTTAATTTAAATTTCAATTGAAATGAGATTTAATTGTTTGGTGAATGTTTCACTCGAATTTACATTTAATAAAAAATAAAATTTAGAAATTAAAACTATATTTAATGGTAGAAGAAATTTATAATTTATTAAATTAGCATAAAATATTAACACAAGTAAGCAGAAAAAGAGGGAGAGATTATGTCATATATTAAGTCAAGTAGTAATGTTATTAATTAAAGTCAACGAGTCATTAAGGTAGAAACTTTGACCTCACCAACTCATGATACTCGGTGCATCTGTTGCATCTCCACTCCACATGTCGCACAGAATCCATTTCGGATTAGATTAATTATTATATAATAACAATTAATTCAGTTAATAAATTAATTATAATTATATTAAATTAATTAAACAACTAGACCATAGTCCGCTACAAGATACGCGTCTCTAATTGGTACTGAAACTGACTCCTTCTTAGACAATTGGACTTTATTAATTTAACTATATGCTGCGTAATTAAATGTATTTATATATTTAATTACTTATTTATTTTGTTTTATAAATCTCATTTTTTGTGAATCTTGTTCAATAAATTTACCTCATAGTAATTATTAATTAATTCAAAATCTATTATTAAAGTATATAAACCATACATAATTATTAAATATTTCATAAATATAGTTACTTCATTTTGATTTTTTATCAACTTCGAATTTAATATTAAATACTAGTAGAAAATCTTGATTGGCTTTTCCTAAGACAAAATTCAATATACAAAATATTTGGTTAAATAAATTAATAAAATATAGATGCATTGAAACTAATAATAATAATATTTTAATTATTACTAATAAGAAATTGTTTGCCTAACTTCTAACACATTAATTATCTCCATAAAAAGTAATACAATATTCGCCCACCTCCACATTTAATCGACACGCAATCTTTGAGAAGACTGATATTATATTTTTATCAATTAATATATTATTATGAATTTTAATATATAAAGAAAATTAATTCATGTTGTACATTAAATGTCTATGTTAGAAGGAATTTTTATTTTAAAAAATAATTAATACGTAAAAATTAATTATTTGCGTGGAGTGCCGCGTAGTGAAAAAATATAGGAGAGGCAATCAAATACGCGTGCAGATTTTATGGCTGAGCTCAGCTTTGAGAGCTTCTTAATTATACGGAAAGAGAAAATAATTTTGTTCAAATACTAATAATCAAAAATATTTTTAGTTAAAAATAAAATTAATTTTCCTATGTTAAAAAAAGCAATGAAAATACTCAAAAATAAAAAAAAAAACTTAAATTGCCACATTTGTTGCCTTCGTGTAACCTTTGAAGTATGAACGGTTTAAATTATCAATCACAATAAACTAAACATTAAGTTCATAATAGTGAACTTTATACTTTTAATAAAATTTAAATTGGTAACTTTCATGTATGAATTTGTTAATCCAAATTTATTAATTATTATATATCGATTACTATTACTTTTAGTATTGAATTTTATATCGTTAATAAAATTTAAATTCATGATTTCTAAGTATAAACTCATTAAATTTTTTATGTCAGTTGATCGCCAATAATTCATAATATATGCCAATAAAATAACAAATTTTATACTTTCAATGAGATTCAAACTCGTAATATTCAAATATAATACAAAGATTTTAACTAGTAATCTCTATAAAATTGTTAGTAAGATAGTTTTTCTTCTATATATAAGATTTTTAATTTAAAATTATTTATTACTGGACATGCTGTGCTGTAACAACCCCGGAAAATATTAAAAAGAAATGAGTATTTAAATATATCGAATGCGGAAGCGAGATCAAAATTTCAGTTAACATCCCTTACACGAAAAACCAAAAACGTACTTAAAATATAAAAGGTTAAACTAACTAAGAAAGAAAACTCGAAAATAAACTATGCGTATGACTACAGAGTCTCTAGGCATCCCCTTCGTCGTCCTCCTGCGGAACGGGCTCGGGAACCATGTCTTCCTGATCTGAAATGGTTAATTA